GGTGGATGTGGTATACCTAGACTTTAGTAAGGCATTTGATACGGTCTTGCATGATATTCTTATTGATAAACTAGGCAAATACAACTTAGATGGGGCTACTATAAGGTGGGTGTATAACTGGCTGGATAACCATACTCAGAGAGTAGTTATTAATGGTTCCCAATCCTGCTGGAAAGGTATAACAAGTGGGGTTCCGCAGGGGTCTGTTTTGGGACCGGCTCTGTTCAATAGCTTCATCAACGACTTAGATATTGGCAAAGAAAGTACGCTTATTACGTTTGCAGCTGATACCAAACTGGGAGGGATTGCAACTGCTTTGGATGATAGGGTCATAATTCAAAATGATCTGGACAAATTGGAGAAATGGTCTGATAAACAGGATGAAGTTTAATAAAGACAAATGCAAAGTGCTCCACTTAGGAAGGAACAATCAGTTCCACACATTCAGAATGGGAAGAGACTGTCTAGGAAGGAGTACGGCAGAAAGGGATCTAGGGGTTATGGTGAACCACAAGCTAAATATGAGTCAACAGTGTGATGCTGTTGCAAAAAAAGCAAACATGATTCTGGGATGCATTAACAGGTGTGTTGTGAGCAAGACACGAGAAGTTATTCTTCCGCTCTACTCTGCGCTGGTTAGGCCTCAACTGGAGTATTGTGTCCAGTTCTGGGCACCGCATTTCAAGAAAGATTTGGAGAAACTGGAGAGGGTCCAGAGAAGAGCAACAAGAATGATTAAAGGTCTAGAGAACGTGACCTATGAAGGAAGGCTGAAATAATTGGGTTTGTTTAATTTGGAAAAGAGAAGACTGAGAGGGGACATGATAGCAGTTTTCAGGTATCTAAAAGGGTGTCATAAGGAGGAGGGAGAAAACTTGTTCATCTTAGCCTCTAAGGATAGAACAAGAAGCAATGGGCTTAAACTGCAGCAAGGGAGGTTTAGGTTGGACATTAGGAAAAAGTTCCTAACTGTCAGGGTGGTTAAACACTGGAATAAACTGCCTAGGGAGGTTGTGGAATCTCCATCTCTGGAGATATTTAAGAGCAGGTTAGATAAATGTCTATCAGGGATGGTCTAGGCAGTATTTGGTCTTGCCATGAGGGCAGGGGACTGGACTCTATGACCTCTCGAGGTCCCTTCCAGTCCTTGAATCTATGAATCTATGAATCTCAGAGTTGGGATCTGGCTTTGGTTCCCAGATTTTCCACTGACTCCCTAGGTGACATGTCATGTCTCTGTTCCTCAATTTCCTCCTCTACAAATTCGGGATATTAATGCTGATCCACTTCACTGGGGCTTGGGAAAGACTGCAGAGAATCATAATTCCCAAAGTAGAACTGTTTAGTCACTCAGATCAATTATCTTGACAAACCTACAAGAAGACACTGAATTGTTCTGCCTCCCTGTGATGTTTGTCACTCACATGCCACAATCTATTATTACTAAGGGCTGAAACAACTTCTGTCTCGCCCATTCATTGTTCCAGAGAAGTAAGTCTCTGCTGGATAGCAGCGCCATCTGATGGCTTGTGCTCAAACTCAGCATGCTCTCAATTAAGAATAAGTAAGGCTACAATTTAGTCACGGGTATTTTTAGTAGAAGTCATGGACAGGTCACAGGCAATAAACAAAAATTCATGGCCTGTGACCTGTTCATGACTTGTACTATAAATACCCCTGACTAAATTTTAGCTGGGGGGCTGCTGCTCGAGGGGGAGGAGGCCGGGGGGGGGGCACCTCTCGGGGGTGAGGGCCCTGGGGCCAGTGGCACCAGCTGCAGGAGGCCGCCGAGCAGCAGCTGCTCTGGCCACCCCTGGGGCCACTGCTCAGGCAATCCTTGGGGCCAGCTGAAGTGGCTGCTGCCCATGGCTGCCTGAGCAGCAGCCAGTGCAACTGGCTACAGAGCCACTCCAGCAGTGGCCAGTGTGGCTGTCCCTGTGGCCAGCTGCTTGGGCAACCCCAGGGTCAGCCACACTGGCCACTGCAGAAGGCCCGGAGGTTATGGAATGTCACGGAATACGTAACTTCCGTGACCTCCATGACTGACATGGATCCCTAAAAATAAGCAGAACTGCTTATACAAAACACAGTTTCGGTTATAATCTTCTCTGAGCCAGTACTGGTGCTACTCTGCAAGGCTTTTAAGAGCTGTACTCTACTCTTGCTTTAAACCTCTTCTTTGAGTGTCCATCTCTAGGATTGCCACTGAGTGTTTGAGTCTGCCATATAAATACATAAATTTGTAACACAAAGAAAAAGCCCTCTATCCTGGGCCTGTATCAAAATAATTACTCTCTTAAAAAAAACCCTTCATTTTCCCCAAACCACAAAATAACCAACCATCCCAACCCACCCGCAAATGCCAGTGATCTTTCTTAGGTATATGGCAGTCATTACCATAGTATCTGAGCACCTGAGATCTTTAATGTGTTTATCCTCACAATACTCCAGTGAGATAGTGTAATGCTTTTATCCCATTTTACAGATGGGAAACTGAGGCATGGAGTGACTAAGGCCAAGACCCACGAATGACCCACTTCCTAACAATGGAAGGAGCCTGAATACCTTTGGGAATCTGGGCCCAAGTGACTTACACACAGTCATATAGGAGTTTGTGCAAGAGCAGGGAATTGACTCTGGGTCTCCTAAGTTCCAAGCTAGCATACTAACTACTCAACCATCCTTCATCCCTTTTGTGTCTTGTATCACAACCATCCTTGAATACATAGATGAGGCCTTGGTTGCTGACAGGTTAGTGCAATCTGAGATCAGCCATGAGAATAAATTCCAAATGGAGGCCCCTCACGGAGAATACCCTGCTGGCAGTTCCCTCTCTCTTATACCAACAGGACAACCATTCAGGTGTCTTTACTGGCCACAGTTACAGCAGTATGTCTCTGTCTAGGTGCTTATTTAGTCCTTCTGACCATGTCGTTAAAGCCTCAGAAACACTGAATTGTTCCTAACAAATCCCCTGAAATAAAGAATATTCCCCATTACATATGGAGAGCTGAGGCACAGAGTGATTTGCCTGAGGTCACACACAGCCTGTGACAGAGCTTTGAACAGAACCCAGGTGTCCTGAGTTCCAGTCCAGAACCTTAACCACATGGTCATCCTTCCTCAATGCAATATAACTTACGACACTTAGGTCTCTATAGACCAAACTTAGCTCCTATAAATTTCCCCTGGAAACCTGTAGGCAGCCAGTACAGGCCCTAGAACAAACGCTCCATATGCTGCTAGCAAGAGGCACACCACATACCAATTAGGTTATCACAGTTTCCACACTTTTCAGTTTCTGGGTTGATTTAAGATATACCTCCAGGTAGAGCATGTTGCAGTGTCTACTGTCAAGGCATAGAGATTCATAGCTGAAAGAGATGGTCCCAATCTCATAGCCCCACGTACATGAATGAAAGTAACTTAAGTCTTACTGGTACGGGGGCCCGGCTCAGGGCTCCTGGAAGGGGTGGGGGCCTCAGCCTCCCCCAGCCAGCCTTTCAGTGCTGCCCTGCCCATGTCGGCAGGGGCTCCGGTGGCGATTTAAAGGGCCCGGGGCTCTGGCTGCTGCCGCAGTAGTGGCAGCGGTGGCCAGGAGCCCCAGGCCCTTTTAAATCACCAGGACCCAGGGCAGCTGCCCCTTTTGCCCCGCTCCCTTCCCCCGGCAGCCCCTGCGGGGGCAAAAGGGGCAGCGATCTTAGTGTGCTGCCACGCGCGGCAGCACTTTAACATCACCTATGTACAGGCCCGTACCAGCAGCCACCTCTTATTGGTACGGCATACCGGCCCGTACCGGCCCACTTTCACCTCTGCCCACATAGCAGTGGTGAGAATTACTCTTCTTTGCTGTTATATGGTAACTCCAAAGAAGTGTAGGTTCAACTCCACCCCCTGAATGCAAACTTGTGTGACATATAATGGAAAAACAGCCTCAGCTAACGGGGAAGCTCTTTTCCTCACTACATCTTCCAGCTGTTTTCCCCAACATTTCCCTGCCTTATCTCCCCCTTCCTAGTACCACAAGGACCAAGATCCGAAACTCTCACCACCAACCCCCGACTCCAGACCTTAGTGTTCCCAGTAGGCAGCAGTGATGGATGTGATTACAGCATGTTCTCTCATGATGGTCACTCAGTGGCTTGATAACTAGTTCTTTCCACAGCAAGTTTATGACTGACCACCTCAGCTATAATCTCAGGGTTTTCATGGGACTGGTGTGGCCAGGATGGGGCATCCTACACCCTGTGAACACACAAACTATCCTGAAAAATCTTGTGGTTTAAGCACTACATCAGTCAATAGCTATGTCCAGGAGGTGGCAATTATTGCCCTGCTAATTTCATTCATTCACTTTTCTCCCATCCACCAGACCACTTGTTCACTTATTGACTCGTCCACTCCTCTCTGCCTGTTCAGATGTCTGCCCATCAGCCCTCAAATCTGTTTGCAAAAGTGCACTTTCCCCTTCGCCTGCCCACATACCTACCTGCTCATCCATTTGTATATCTCCTTTCCCCATTATTGTTATACATTTACATTTCTGTAGCACCTAGGGCCACCAATCAGGCTGTGGGAGCCCATTGTTTTGGGCACTGTACAGATAAGAGACTGTCTCTGCTCCAGAGTAATTACAGTCTAGTTTATGACAAGATGTAACAAGGAGATAAGACAAACAGCAGCTGTCCACAAACCTGTCTGGCCGCCCACTTCCCTCTTCATTTTGCCTGCCTGCCGACTACGACTCTGTCTCTTACAGGTGTACTTAGGAGCAATGGGAGATGCTAATACATATGCTTCTCTAGTCATCCACTTGAACAGCATGGTGAGTGGAGACCTGCTCTTTGACCAGTCGCAGCAGCACCTGTACGTCATGACCCAGTCAATGGTGAGAGCAATGAAATCCCTACTGCAAAGGAATGAAAGCACTTGGGGCCCACAGTATGTCCTGAGGGAAAGTGGTGTCTGTAGTCAGCCTCAGGCTGTGGCCACAGGGGCCTTGCCTCATGCCATGGCTGTGAAATATGATGGGAATCCTGCCATCCCAGGGATTGGTATCTCAGCCCTTATGCATCCTTGTGCACCAGTCATGTAGTTATGTCAGCAATGATGGATGAGCGTAAAAGGGGGTTGTTATGCTACAGAGACCAACAGTTAGATAGTAACAGATATGTTAGCAGTGTGGAGAAAAAGAACTTAGGGTCTGTAACAGGGCAAGCTCCTTTCCCACCTTGCCTTGGGTTCACTCCCAGTCTTGGATGTCTCTTAATTGTCAACACTTCTGTGAGGTTTTTATTTATGTAACCACCACCAAGCCATCTTCACAATCCCTGTGCAGCACATCTACCTACAATGTCCTTCAATCCTCAGCCCTCTCTCCAGGGAGAGAAAGAGGAGACCTCAACAGCTGGTGACCTAGCTTCCCCTAGGGGGTAAATAACACTTTCTTATTCACTTTCTCCACACCATTCATGATTTTATAGACCTCTCTTCTGCGCACAGTTGCCAGGAAATTTTCCCTCTGTGGTACGGGTCGGGTCAGCTCTAGCACCCTCTGGTGCCACGCACTCATGGCACAGTATAAGGGGGCTGGCTGACCCCGCACCCTCTCGGTTCCTTCTTACCACCGCTAATGATTGCTGGAACTGTTCCTCTTGCTTCAGCAGGTGATTCTCAGTGTTTTTTGCTGTTTCTCTATCCCATTTCTTTCTTTCTCAACCAGTTGTTGTTTCTCAGGTAGGACTTAGTTGGACTCTCGCAACTATTAGCTGCGTTTCCGCCGCTCTCATACCTGGATATGCCCCAGTCTCCGGGCTTCAAACCCTGTGCCTCCTGCGGCAAGCCCATGCCTGTGAGCAACCTGCACTCCAGCTGTCTAAAGTGCTTGGGGGAGATTCATGTATGAGATCGCTGTCAGATCTGCTGCCAGTTGAAGCTGGGTTATGAAGAAGGATTGGGAAGCCAGGTTAAAGTCTCTCCTGATGGAAGGGAACTCAGACCAACTTTGGAGCCGAGTTGGTCAGACTTGGTGCCAAGTACCTCGGCGTCAGTAAGGAGTAGTGCTCCTGCTGCACAGGACTCTTGGCACCGCACTGGTGCTGAGAAAGAAGGATAAGAAGCAGCGGTCTGAGAGGTGGCATTCCCTAGATCTAAGAAAGAACAAGCAAGAACAAGCACAAGGAGCGCAGTGGAGTGCTGTCTGTGTCTGGCCATTCCCCTGCCCCTGCTCTGCTGGTTGCACCGTCGAGTCCACCCTGTTCACAGGCTGTGTTGAATGCAGTGCCAGATCAGCCATTGGCACCTGGGGAACATCATGGTGCCTGCGGGATGGTGGGATGCATTCATTGCGGCCAGGGACTTGCTGGTGCTTTCGGTACCACCGTTGCGGGCGGTGCAAGAGTTGGTGCCGGCGATGAGGGCAAACAGAAGAGAGCATGTTGCCCTCAGTACCATCTAGAGGGAAGTGGCCCTGCTGATGTCGACACAGGCTTCCCCACTTTAGCACCAATCCCCGGATCCTCGGCACTGGCTCTTGGAGCTGACGGGTACAGCACCTCCATGGTCCCTGAAAGATGACTCATCATTGGAGTTGGAAGTGGAGTCGTGCACCCAGCCGAGGGGCCATTACCAATGCCCCACCAGTCAGCCCTACATGGCAGTGGATCTTGGTACGGGGGTTCCTCCAAGTGCCTGGTGCAGTGGGCATTGGCCCATGCAAATGCAGTGGCCTTTTTGAAACCCATGGGGTTTTCCCCCCGATGCCTGGCCCTCATTCAGGCTGTTCCTACTTGATGGTGTCGGAGAGGCGGACTCCTCGGTCACACCATGCAGCGTCTGACCCAGGCCCTGGAGCAGCGGGTTCTGGTCAGTGAAGAAGGAGAGAAGGAGAGCCACCTGCCAGTGTAGGCCTCCTCCCCAGACAAGGCAGTGTTAGGGATGTTTGATGTCAGTGTTTGAGGCCCCAGGACAACTTCAAGGCTCAGAAGGAGCTATTGAAGAGAGTGGCCTTGAACTTAGGTTTGGAAGTGGAGGTCCTCACGCAGCCTGTTCGACATCTTGGCTGCGATGGCCCTGTTGAAGGTGGTTCAACCTCTCAATGAGGTCATCATGGGGCCAGTCAAAACCCTCTGGCACACACTGTCCTCTCTGGCCCCCAGTTCAAAGAGAGCAGAGAAGAAGTACTTTGTTCCCACCAAGGCTACGAGTACTTATACTCCCACCCCAATCCTGGATCCCTTCTGGTCTTGAAGGCCAATGAAAGAGACAGGCGGGGCTGCAAGGGGCCACCCCTAAGGCAAAAGAATAAAAAAAGCTGGACCTTTTTGGTAGAAAGGTTTATTCTACTGGTGGTTTACAGCTCCACATCTCCAACTAGTAGTATTGCTAGGGAGATACAATTTCAACGTCTGGGACTCTATATCAGAGTTTAAGGTTCAACAGTCTCTTCAGGACCTTCCATTCGAGGGAGCTTTGCTCCCCTCGGAGAAAACAGACAGAAGGCTCCACAGCCTGAAGGACTCCAGAGCCACCCTCAAGTCCCTGGGTCTCTATGCCCCGGCACCTTCAAGGAAGCACTTCAAGGCCCAACAACTGGCCCGCTTTTCACCTCTGCCTCCTGTCAGGACCTGTTCAAAAAGTGAAGCAGAGGTTATAGGCGCAGACAAATGCTCCTGTCCGCTTCAGTCTCGCTACCTGGCCCTCCCAGATATTCAGGAGGCTCCAAACAGAACTTTTGATGAGGTGCCTGAGGGCGTTATACCAGTTCCTATACCGGATCCTGTTCCCTTATTGTTTTTGGACCATCTCTCCCACTTCAGCTTTGCATGGTCCCTTATCACCACAGACTGTTGGGTGCTGAGTATGGTGGAGGAAGGTTATATGCTTCAGTTTATTTCCACCCTTCCCTCCTACCCCCAATCTCTGTCCCTCTTCAGGGACCCTTCTCACGGGCAACTTTTATCCCAGGATGTGCAAGCCTTCCTCTGGGTAGGAGCCGTGGAGGACGTACCTCAGAATCTGAGAGGAAAAGGATTTTATTCCTGCTGTTTCTAATTCCAAAGGGGGCTTTCGACTCATCCTAGATTTGCTTTGCCTCAGCAGTTATCTCAAAAAGCTGACGTTCTGCATGGTCTCTCTGGCCTCCATCATTCCCTACCTGGATCCAGGGGACTGGTATGCCGCCCTCAATTTGAAAGTTTCCTATTTCCACATCTCCATTTTCCAAGGCCACAGAAGGTTTCTCAGGTTCGTCGTGAACCAGACCCACAACCAGTTTACCGTCCTCCTGTTTTGCCTCTCAGGAACCCCTCGGGTCTTCATGAAATGCATGGCAGTAGAGGCAGCCTTCCTGTGAAGGCAAGGGGTGCAAGTATATCCATACCACGATGATTGGCTGATCAAGGTCCAAGACCCTGGTGAAAGCCAGAATCTACCTTGTCCAAATAACCTTTCGAGCACTGGTCCTGCTGATAAACGAGCAGAAGTCAACACTCCTCCTGGTACAGAGAATAGAGTTTATTGGAGTGGTGCTTGATTCTACCTGAGCCAGGGCCTTCCTCCCAGAAGCCTGCTTCCAGTCAGTGATATGTCAGGTCAAAGTCCACCCAGTCACAATAGCCAATTTCTGCCTCAGGCTGTTGGGTCACATGGCTGCGTGCACACACATGGTGCAGCATGTGAGGCTGCGCCTCAGATCCCTTCAGGCTTTGTCAGCCTTGGTGTACTTACCGAAACATCATCATTTGGACTTGGTGCTCACAGTTTCTGCCCCCCTTGACTGGTGGAGGGACTCCCGGTCAGTAGGCTTGGGCGTTCCCTTCATCAGACCCCAGCCCTCAATTTTCGTAATCTCAGATGCATCCAAGCTGAGTTGGGGGCTCACCTGGGGCACCTCAGGACACCAAGTCTGTGGTCCCAGGAAGAGCTCTTCTTACATATAAATGTCAGAGAGCTCAGAGTGGTCCGCCTAGCATGCTAGGTGTTTTTACCCTACATTGCAAGCAAGCTTGTACAAGTCCTTACAGACAACACAGCCACCATGTTTTACATCAGCAGGCAGGGAGGGGCCCGCTCTTCCCCCCTCTGTAAAGAGGCCATTCGCTTGTGGGAGTTCTACGTGAAGCACTCGTTCCACCTTGAAGCTTCTCATCTTCCAGGAGTCCAGAACGAACTGGCAGTTCAGCTCAGCAGGTCTTTCTTCTCTCACCAAGAGTGGTTCCTTTGCCCCGACATAGCAAGGATCATTTTTCAGTGGTGGGGAAATACCCTGATAGACCTGTTTGCGACCAGGCAGAACAGGAAATGTCAACAGTTTTGCCCTCTGTGTGGCCACAGACCAGGCTCACTCAATGATGCCTTCCTACTCCCTTGGGCAAAGCACCTGTTCCATGCCTTTCCCCCCATTTCTCTCGTGCACAAAGTCTTACTGAAGATCAACCGGGACAGGGCAAGAGTTATTCTTATAGGTCCAGCCTGGCCACGCCAGCACTGCTTTGATATGTTATTGGACTTGTCAGTATCGACCCCAATGCCACTCCCTCCCCTCCTGGACCTGATCTCGCAAGATCATGGCTGAATGCTCTACCCAAACCTCAACACCCTCCACCTGACCATGTGGAAGTTCCACGGTTAAACGCCTGTTCGGAGCAAGTCTGCCATGTTACCTCACCAAGTGGAAGTGTTTCTCCATTTGGTCATCCAATCGAGGCCTCTCGACCATTAGGTCACTTTCCAGACTCTGCTGGAGTATTTTCTTCAGCTGAAACACTAAGCCCTAGCTATTTCATCTATTAAAGTACACCTAGCAGCCATCTCAGCTTTCCACCCTCCGGTGGTGGGTCAGTCAGTTTTTTCACACGAAATGTCCATTCGCTTCCTCAAGGGCTTAGA